AATAAGATTATTTCCTGGAGCAATTTCAAATGACGTCTTATTTAAAGCCAGTAACTGGTATGAGTTTTTTTTAAAGCAGTAAAAAAGAAAAACAGAAACAGTCAAATTTAAATGTTTGAGTTGAGCTCTTTTCTATTAAAGTAGGGACATCCTAAATTATAAATAAACCCTGAGGCAACAAAGCATTGACAGCATAAAGGCATCTGAACACAAAAAAAAACACGTATCTGAAGTAACACTAAACTTAACTCACTGTGTGTCATACTTCCATTAAAATGTTTTAAAGATGCCATCTGATTTCTCTTTTCTTAGCTCAAAGTTAAACAGAACTGATTTGATGTTTGTGCCGCTGAGGGATTATTTCCTGAAGGAAACCCTCCTGCAAAAAAGAAGTGTTATTCATGAAAACAGCCCTCATGAGACTTTAAAACATCTCTGGCTTCCTGCTTTTGCTTAAAATTATCTGAATTCGGTTGCACGTGCAGAGAGCTGCAACACATCTTCTTCTCCAACGCAAAGTCTCTGGCTCTCCGTTGTGGACTGAAGCTCACTGAACAAGCACCACATCAAATGCAACCGTAATACGTTGCAGTCTGTGTTTGTGGCGAACGACTTCAGATCTGCAGATTCTATCTCCTGGGATTCTTGTTTAAACAGTGTAAAAAAAAATGTAGCCAATTCTGTAAGTCAGATAGAGAGAGTGAATGTTTGCCATCCTCCCTTTGAAACTGCAGAGCGCGTACCGAAGCTTTTCCCTTTCGACTTCTGACGAAGCGACATTAGACGGCCTGTACGTGCGCTGGATCCAAAACATTCCGCGCGACGCACAAGCGAAGGGCGACTTGGTCTAATGAAAAAACAGAGAAGCTAATTTGCGTTAGCTGATGCTTTTTCCCCCCTCCCCTCCTTCTTTCTTTCTCCTCATTGCCATTCATAGACTGCAGGTTCAAGTGGAGGTAACGATATTCCAGCGCTCTCCGGAGGCACGCGGTGGTGAGGCCTCGCCGTCAGCACAAACCTCGCCCTGGTGCTGACTCAGGCGGCTCCCGGGTCTCCCTCGCAACCCTCTCAGGAGCCGCGTTTGTAGCAAAGTCAGCTGAAGTCGTTGTCCGGCTGAATAACAATAATGGAGTCCAGTGCGATTTAATTAACGACGGCCATCACTGACGCCTCAGAGCCGCGTTCGACCCCTTCGCCTCCCAATAGTCCGTCTGTCTCATTTTCTGTTTCCCCTCTGCTTATCAGCGTCTCACTGAGTCTTCGTCCACGGGTGTTTGTCTCTGTCCGGTATCCTTGTGCAAATATCCAACATGAACCATGGCTTTGCCCTCGTTCCCTCGCCCACCTCCCCCCCCCCCTCCATCGTTCCGGTTTAACCCGCGGGTCTCATCCTGTCAGGGCAGCTCACTGTTATTCAAGGCCCAATTGCATCCGAAAGACCACCAATTCATTAAAGTACAGAGCACCTAACATTGATCAGATCACCTGACAACCGTCAATATCTCCCTTCTCTAATGGTGGAAAGAGGGATTGTTGAGATGTAACCAATGCCTGTTGTGGTCCGGCTGTTCATTTATTTAATGTCAATTAGACTCAGAGCTGAGAAAACAATTAAAGACAGAATATTTAACTTATGAGCTTAAAGTTTTATTCCCGATTGTGATAATAAAAAGTTAATTTTTAACATTACACACACACACACTTTAATGAAGAAAACGTTGGCTACATTTACTTACTACTCTAGTTGAGTCTAGCTAGATCAGGATTCAAACATTTCAAATTGCACTGAAGAGGAAAAGAGGATGCTCATTTAGCATTGCGCCATTCTCAAAATATACATAGGTTGAAATCCTACTTCATGGCCATTGATGTTGACACTTCTGACAGACAACCAGCAAGTTCATTTTAAATAACTCACTAATATTTTAAAGAGATCTAAGGCTAATGCAGCAACCAAAGACATCTCTCAAAGCTTTTGTCTACCGCATCGGGACCTCTGATGCCTCCAACTCTATAAACCAAAGCAGCAAGTGGGCTTAATCTGATCAAACACAACAGTTGCTTCCATCTAAAAAACTGTCTCACTGGCTGCAGCCTCTTGGCAGAGGAAGAAGCTCTTAAAATGTCTCAGTGCAATTACTCTCCTGCAAAGCTGCATGCTTTTTGGGGCCTAAAAGTAAAGGTCAGATTTATTACATGTTCATTGTTCAATCCCTGCAGGGTTTCTCTCCATGTTGAAAAAAAAATGCGGTATAGTAAATAAGCAATTTAAAGAAGATGTGATATGATAATGATATGACAGTGAGAGCTCACCCAGCGCCGACTTTTTCAAATGACTCTCTCTCTCTCTCTCTCTCTCTCTCTCTCTCTCTCTCTCTCTCTCTCTCTCTCTCTCGCTCACCTTACACACCACTCATGCGCTCACACCCAGTTTATCATTTGCATTTTCCATCGTCGCTACGAAACAGCAAATATAATACGGAGCGTAGATCGGTCCACCAGACATAGAATTCACGTGTAGCACAAGAGCACGAGTGCTCCAGATTGCTAGATGCAGGTTACGGCTTTGGGGTGTCGATGTAATGCTTCACTCATTTTCAGCCGTATTGAGGACCAGGTAAAGAAAATGAAATCCTGAGCTTCATATTGCTACTCAACACTCTGTCAAGACTCTGTCACTGGTGGAGGGAAAGAGTGTTTCCCAGAGAGTTATTAAATCATGTTATATCAAGTAGTTGTGTCAGTCAGGCCTCTAAATGAAAGATGGATTTGGGATTTAAATGATTGCTCAACTCACAGAATCAGAAGCTTGTCATTGGCTCTTGATAATGTTTACATGTACGTATGAATTCATCTGTTTTTTCTTAATTAACACAGCAGTGATAGAAGCAGAAGGCTAAATGCAAAATGTTCCAATGAGACTACCTGAAAGGCGCTTAACTTAATATCATAATGTTTAAAATCCACAGCAATTATTCTTCAGGGAGGCGTGAAATTGATTCCAAACATTTTTCTTTCTCCTCTTCACACTGTCTGATCTCTGCTCCGCTGGGACGACCTTTGATTAAATTTAATTTTGAGCAACAACACTTCATGCACCTTCTACATCTCACCCAAAGATAACACACCTTCATCTTCAATTAATTGTTCAGCACTGTTTGGATTTTCTTTTATAAATGTCTTGACCTGTGTTTGTCTAACTGATGCTGGATAAATATCTTAGTGTAATTAATATTATTTAATAAGGTTCTGTGGGTTTTACTTGTTATTTAATCTCTTTTTTTAGTTTTTTTCTTTGGCTCAAACCTTAAATGATTTGTTCTTCTTCTGTCAAACCTGTTTATTGTTCAGAGCAGAAATTGTGTGTGTGTGTGTGTGTGTGTGTGTGTGTGTGTGTGTGTGTGTGTGTGTGTGTGTGTGGCGAGTAAACAATATGCACAATAACCATTTGATCATAATAATTATATCAGAAGTGACGGGTTGATTTTCAGCGAAATTGTCATCCTCTTCAAAACATCTGCACATTTTTTCATTACTTCAGAAATCACATCTTTTCAGTCAGATAAATGTGATTTTCCGTAAAAGATCAAAGGGTAATTTTCTTTTTGTAGTACATATAATGCGTTCAACACAAGTTAACAAGTACTGTTGTTAAAATAGTTTACACACTAATAGAAATATACTTTTCTATGTGAACTACAGTTCATTAGGTATCAACTATGGTTCCAATCGTGCATTCATTTACTGACAGTTGTGACAGCAGGTCGACAGACTCAGTTTCTGTGGGGTCAGGAGATCAGCGCCACTTGCTGGAGGCCGTGAGAAGATACCAAAGCAAAAGTTAATGACGTGCATTACATCTTATTGCCAAAATAATTTTTATTTGGAAAAAGTAATGTATTCATTGGATTGAGGCAGAGGGATGCATCCTAGTCTCGATTCTAAAATGTTCTTGAAAAATGCAATATTTCATGAAGTTGTTGCCTTTTTTCTTGGAAAAAATAGTACATTGTGCTTCTACAGAGCAAAGGACAGAGTCATAAGAGGCTCCCGCTTAGTTACTACACTTAATTTCAGTTTAAAATGCTCAGAATGCAGCTGATAATAAAAACTGAATTGAATAAAACTGAAAGTCTGTCTTGCATCAGATAGTTTGGATTCCAGTACGATGGGAGAACTCGGCACATGTTCAAACTTTACAGGACAGCAGCTGCCATTATGAACATGCCTTCATGGTGTTTTCTTGAGGGCATGTTGTGTTCAGGTAGTCATTACTGGGCCTGGCTGTGTGTTATCTGGCTTTCAACCTGTCAGAAACAACAGCAGTTGGTCTCCGTGGGGAGATGCTGGAGAGTTGGTCATTGAAAAGCAGACTGCAGTCTTTTAGCTCAAGGCTACAGTTCATTCCTGATGTACAATGTTTCAGCTACACGGGGGAACAGTTTGTCATTTAATATTGCTTAAATCAAGGTCCTTCACATTTGAGAAATATGGTTATATACCAACCAAATAGTGTGTTTGTGGTTGCATTGTCATTATCAGCTACATTTTGCATGATGCATCTCCTCAAAACACACATTTTGGAGATTGTGTGAACATATATGTGCAGATGCAGCATCAAAGAGCTGTTTTTAATATTTGGTGGGACATAAACAGGAGCCAGTTGTCTCAACTGTTTGTCTACATGTTAATTGAAACATCTAGATAGTAATGTAATCTGGATATTAAAAACAAGTAATTAATTAAACAATTTAAATAAGATTTTAATTTATAATTTTATTTGCTGTTTTTAATTGTCTTTTAATTCCTGCATTTTATTTCACTTTATTGTATGAAATGTTATGATGTGAAGCACTTTGAGTCTGCCTTGTGTATGAAAAGCGCTATACAAATAAAATTGCCTTGCCTTGCCTAATGTAATTAAATGCTGTGTGCAGAGTAGACTCCCTATAATGTTGTATGTTTACTTTTATCTCTGTCAACCAGTAAAACAAAAATTCTGACGTTTTTCAGATCTTTTCTTTTACTTAGAACTTCATAAAAATGAAACAGATGAAGCATTGTGAGGTTTAGAGTTACAGAAAAATGTGAAAAACATTAAATAGTTGAAAACAGCGAATGTACAACAGAAAAAAATTCTTTCCCACTGACACAGATTGAAACTACCCCTAATCTATCACATCTATACATACAACTCTTTTCTACAAACATACACACACAAAGTATTTAATACACAAGCTCCACATGTTCTATGTTGAATTATTCCCTTTTTATTAAAAACTTTCTGGGAAAATTTCTGGGAATTTTCTGGGAAAATCTGATTCTCTATCTAAAAGCTGATTGATATAACAGTTATGTAACTGATTAATTGATGACGTGGTGACTGGCCGCGCTGCGTGAAGTCCATGAGAGACGACGGAGTGCGCCCCACTTCTGCCGGGTCGATCGTCTAGCAGATGCCGAATCTGTGGTTATTTCTTCTTTATTTCTACTTGTGCTGGCTCATGACGCCCCTGAGGAACTCATCGAAACGTGAAACGGAGGCTTCCCCGGCAGCTTTCTCTTCTCCTGCCGCAGCCCGGGTGGCGCGGCGCAGTCGGCAGTTGTAGTCGAGCTCGGGGTCGCAGTCGGGGTCGGGCAGGATTATGCCGCCTTTGCCTGGCTTCGGGGCCTCGACGCTGGCAGGCGCGGCAAACTTGGCGCAGCTGGGGTCAAACGGATGGCAGAAGGGCTTGGCCGGGGCCCCGGCGTCCGCCTCGGAGCCGGGCTCCAGCGGCGTGCAGTCTTTGTCATAGTGCACGTAGCAGTCGTGGCCGTCCCTGGTCTTGCCGCGGATGCCCAGCTTGTAGCGGACCTGGTTAATTGATTGATTGATTCGTGGGTGTTTGGTTTAAAACAGATGCAAAGCAGATCATGGATGACAAGTGAAAGCATCGTGCAACACCTTTTTAATTTCACTACATCATTTAATAAACCCAAGAAAAAGGAATAGACACAGAAGAACAACTCAAAAAGCAGGATTAAGCAAACGCTAGATCAAAACATTTAACTATCGATTTCTAGTAGCAGGACTTCAAATTCAGACCTGGTGCTCAGCGGGCCTGCGCAGGGCGGCGGCGGCCGTCAGTATGCACAGCGGGTTCTCGCGAGGATCGCAGACCAGTGGAGCGGCGGGACGTGCGGGCTCGTCCTGGGGCATGTACTCCAGCACGGGCTTGGTGAGACCGGACAGCTTGGTGGCGGTCAGAGGGTTGCAGCCGCCATCGAAGAGCGGGTTGCAGTGTTGCTCTTTGGGGGCCTCCCCTGCGGCAAGCGGGGCGGGAGCAGCAACGTTGGCCGCGCACAGGGGATCCACCGCTGGGTCACAGCTCGGGTAGAGCAGGTGGTAGAAGCCAGTGGGGGCTTTGTGCACCAGGGGGGGCATGCAGTAGGGATCCCGAGGGTCGCATTTGAGCGCGGCGTAGGATGGCGCCGGCCCGGCGGCTGGGCGGTAGCCGTAAGCTGCTCTCAGATGATACTGCAGACACTCCACGTCTTCAGGCCTGCAGATCCTCAACAGCTCGGACCTCTGCTCGGCGCTCAAGAAAGGCTCCAGGACGGGGGCGTAGTAGTAGAAGCCGGTGGGGCTCTTCAGGGGCATGGGCAGCATGGGAGTGAGGATGGGGGCTGGTACCTTAGCTGGAGCTGGCACGGGCTCCGGGGCAGCAGCATGGGGGACAAGGGGGAAGAGGCAGTAGGGGTCGAGGTAAGGGTTGCACATCCTGACAGCAGCGGACTTGATGGGGGCGGGCATCACCAACGTAGCCTTGGGCTTGCTGGTGGACTCGGAGATGCACTCCGGGTCGTCGGAATCGGCACACGACTTGTAGATTTCACTGAGGTGCTTGAGGTAGTGGTTGAAAGTTGGGTCCTCCTCTGACCTGTGCTTGTTCTGCAGGTAGGCCACGTACAGACGATCCAGATCCTCAATCTGAAAACCCAGTTAAAAGGGGGGCAACATGAATTGGTTTTGATTCCATGTGATTTACAACCCGCCGAGAACTAAAAAATAATCTATAAGACTGTATGGGGAGCTCGAGATACCAACTAGCACACATTCTTTGAGGAGGAATTCTCTTTTTCACCACACACAATTGTTACTCATCTATACAGATGGATTTATACATGAAAGAGCTCTCTCTTGCATTGCAGAGTAATTTAGTATTTTAAGATGGACATGGCATCGTTGTACTTTCATATTGTTATTATAAAAAATCTTTTAAAGGGCGTAAAAAAAAAAGACGTGAAGAACTCTCTATAATATTCCAACTGGTTGCGAGGAAAAACAAGTATATTCATCCTAATCCCCAGTGGGAGAAGCTGAATAATTCATCTGAGAGAAACTCCACTCACTCCCTCCTGGTTGTGGCTCTGCATGAAGTACTTGTACCATCCCCAGAAGTCCGGCAGGCGCTGGTACTGAGGCAAGGCAAAGACGGGGGCGTTCCTTCTGCTGCGAACCAGAGGCGTCTCCACAACACCAGCAGACACGTCGGGTACTGAGAGGAGAGGAGAGGAGGAGAGGGAACAAAATAAAGCCTGAATGTACAAATGGCGTGTGAAGACTCAGTAGATATGTTTTCATTTGTGCAGTACAGAATATATGTGTGTTATGAATACATATACCTGAAACATATGAATTTTTGCGTTCTTAGCAAGAGTTAGATGAGAAGATCGATACCCTTCTTTAACGGGTGAAGAGATTTTTGAGGTTAGTTCGATTCCTCCAGAAAGATTACTTCTTATTATTAATGAAACTACTCAGCTCTAGTTTGGACGTAGTCATTGTGACCACTAAACAATAAATATATCATGTATATTGTGCTTACTGGCAGAATAAAGAGAAAGAATATTGGTCGAAGAGTCCTTCATAACTGGCCATGATTTAAGTTTTAAGGGCCCCTTTAAACGTGTCCCAGGTGCCACATCACAAAGGCCCTTACCTTCCTCCTCCCCGCGCTGCTCCACTGGAACGGCCCCCAGAAACTCTGTAAAACACGAGCAGCCGCCACATCAGCAGCAGCAGGAACGTGAGCTGACTGGCACCAGATGTTGAGCTTTCCCTCGGCATAAGGGAAACATAAGGGAAAATGCCGACCCGCTAATAAGCCCCCGGGGGGGTGAAACGCGGCAGGTGCCGGGGCTCTGGCGCCCGGGCAGCATCCTGCAGAATTAACCCCCCCCCGCAGACCCTCACGTGCACGACCCGTCAGGCTTTGGGCTGCAGCCGTGGAGCTCGTGCAACTACTGAGGACGTGTAAAACGAGTGGGCCCCCACAAAAAAAGACGATTAACAGTGGGAGGGAGTGGGCATGTGTGTGTACATCTCTGTTCAGTCAGCTGATTGTGGTGGAAACTTTCTGTCCTTCTAAGTTATTAATGTGGAAAATCTGCCAAATTTGGTGGGATACATTTGTTTTTATGACTCTAGAAATATTTACGGGCTGCCCTGCAAACCAGCATGGCATGTTGTTTTAGTATTAAGAAGATGAGGATAACAGTGTCTGTTTTAATGTGTGCCAAAGATTCATGTGCCAGTGCTCAGCGACAGAGACGGCATTAAATAAATCCCCGGGTCATGAGCCCAAGAAAGAGGGACTCAAATCCTTGACTTAAGTAAATGTATCAAAGTAGTGGTGTACAAAACATGAGTAAAAGTATTGTAATCAAAACTCAAGGTCAGATACAAACCTCAGCAGAATGTAGTTGTCATATAGTTTTCCTTACGCATCAATGTTAAAGTAGCATTTTAATCAAAATGTTGAATACATTGTACTGTGTTCTGCATGTGTTTTGTATTCAACCACTGCCAAAATAAGAGTCCCAAAAAGCTATAAAAAATAAAATAAATCAGATTTGTTTGACACATTGAATTTTTTGTGAAATATTGAGTAATTTTTCCTCCTCGGGCCTCATAAAATCCTTCAAATGAAACAATCTGAGAAAGTGATATCACGCTTTATGTAACCTGCGGATAGTGGGTTGTAAGTGGACCGTGAAACCAGAAGGGTTGGGGACCACTGGTCTGGAAGTATCACATCAGAGTATCACTGCCACACATGCTATTTATCATTATGTATTAATATTGCCAACAACATTTATAGTTCTCAAAATTACTTCCTAAAACTGTTGAATGAAAACGGTACTTCAGGTAATTTGAATTTCCCCAAATACCTAAATTTATGAAGTGACTACATCCCTTATGTGCAATAATAAAAACCAAATCTTTGTGACAAAGGCCAGATAAAGTCATAGGTTCATTCTGAATTAAACGTATAGATCAAGTCTCACCTGGTAGTAAAACGATGGCTAACAGGAATCCTGTGTGGATCAAGAAAAGCGAAGGTCGTCCAACACGAGCCATCTTCTGTTTTATGTGATTCTGAGGCAAAGACATTAACAACATTCACAGACAATGTTATAACAGAACTGCGACGAAGGCTGCACGATAGAATATGAACTTATGGCATTGCATAATAAAACAAATCAACCCAACGAGACTTGTTTGTCTTGTCGTTTGTTCAGCAAACAGTGATACAGAAAATAAAGACAATGGCACTCAGAACGAAGAGATTATTTATTATGATAACAGAATGTCAGAATTTGAAATGTTCCTCTGTTTAGTCACAGTTTCACACTCACAGATCTGAAGACTTTCCCACAATTCATGCCTTTGGAGTGGCGAGCAGTTGCATTTTCTCTACGAACTGCACATTCATAAACTCAAGCTACATGCAGCATTCACACCGTTCCTTACCTGCAAAGGTGCTGACGTTCCGGCCTCCTGCGATCACCCCTGGATCCAGTGGCTCCCTCCGGATCGAGCTTCTTGAGGCGGGAGGGGGGGAGGGGGCTTGCTGCAATGTGGTTGACTGAACTGTCGAAACCCTTTACCTGTGGGACACACAGGCAGCGAAACATTTTAAAGGAGCCCCCCCGATCATTAAAAACAAAAGGGCATGTCATCCGTCTCCGGCATGCTGGTGGGCGCTCCGGGATTGGCTCCTGCGCTGCCATCCGTCCGACCAATGGGGGTCCTGTAATTAGGAGAGTTGAGCAGCACGACTGCGACTCGGTGGAGAAAGATTAACAAGGTGCCATTTAGTGCCGCGTTTCTTTCCTCACGGGTTTGGAATTTGGGGGTCAATCCACCGGTGTCCAAAACAGCCGGTGGATTTTGAGATTAAGAATTTGAATTGGAAGGTTGGGTGGGCGCAAACTAAAAACCTGGAACCTGGTGAATCCAGCTGTAGGTCTCTGTCACAGCAGGTCAGATTGATGAAGAAGTGGCTACTGATGAGGAAGCAGTGGAGCAAGAAGGTAGTCCTGATGTTAGATACATAACCCAGCAGTAAATAACAACAACTTCCTCTTCTCATCCCAGTGCTTTGTCTCCATACGTGTTCCCCAGGACATAAACTGCATAGAATAAAAAGAGTATTTCTATTATCTATTTTGTTGCATCACGGTTAACAAAAGTGTTGCCAGGATCACAAGTGAGGGACTCGTTTAAATGCACTGGTGCAATCCTACATCCAAGCAGAAGGCGCACGGGTCTTTTTTAATGTTTCCAAACTTGATGTCGGAGGTCTACGGCCAGTTTCTCCCTCTTCGGATACTCAGTTGTTTTTAAAAGAAGTCAGCTGCTGTTGAATGGAAGAAAAACCTCTACAAGTGTATAGTCGTCCATAAATGTTCAATGGGCAGACCATAGACATTCATTAAAAATATAGTGTTTCCCTTTTCAAATATATACAAGCGTCAGGCTAGTCTTACATGCTTTCTTCACATGTTTTTTATATAACCACACGGAGGAAGCTGGGCCACTAATGAAGAACCATTAGGACCAGCATGCCAACCCCACTGCTGGTTTGGTGCAGGCTCCTCATGCTCGGATTGTGCCACGTGTGCCTGTGGAAAAATAGCAGAAAAAACATCTGCTACTAAAGAAAGGGGATGTTATTCAAATATCTCAATTATGTCAGTAATTCCTACTGTCACTATTCAATTAAAAAATAAATCAAATTATTCCCGTAAGCATCATCTTCCACTTTGTTTGCTGAATGCTGGTTTTCTAACCTCATACAGTTTGTCAGTTTACACATTTTAAAATAATTGGGGCTGTGGCAAAGGAGACCAATTGTGGTGCTATTCAGCTCAGCAAAACAGCCGTCAGTCTGTCTCTTTCTTTGCATTAAAGTTTTCAAAAATGTGGGCTGAGAGCCCATTAAGGGTTTCATGCTACTTGTGAAAGAAAAAGTCATTAAAAACACAGACCCTTGTTAAAATGTTGATCCCTGTCAGATGCTTTTATGTTAGCACTTAAATTGTGGTTCAAGTTACATATAAGTGAGTGAACCATCAAGGGCTCACGCTGTGATTGTTATATAATGAACAATTCAAAAGTTCTGTTGCAAAGTTAGAAGAACAACAGCAAACTAAAACTAAAGCGTTAAACTTAATAAAACAAATAGTGACTTGACCGTCAGAGGAGCAGATCATGTTCTTGTCGTTGTCTTTTTTGTTGCCATGTTGTTTGTGTTAGTCTCCTCTGTACTTGGCGGCTTGCACACATTAGCGGGTGCACACGCGTCGTCCTAAGGTGGTGAACGCGGTACACGTTGTACCATGTCGCCGCTGCATTTAGCACACCGCTGTGCGTTGATCCAGCCTCACAGAGCTGCAAGTAAACCATTTTAATAATTGCTAACCTTATCCAGTCTGATCTTAACGTTGTCCCCCACAACCATCATTTGGGGTTCCTAATTAAAAGCGTTCTACAATTGGCATTCAATTCTGCCGCAAGTATTGTGTTCCTTTTACAGGTTGAAAGTTAAATGTTTCTAAAGCAATTAGACATGAATTGATTATTACCTGCTATTACAGACAGTTTTGTTAATTGTCTCCCATCTTTAATTGGTTCGTACTACAAAACTCTTCTACGGCCGTAGCAGAGTTCTATGTTTCGCTGATTCTGTGCAGCCGAGCTGTTGAAAACCTGCAGTTTGCCTTTTGTCCTCGTCCCAGGTTGTAAATGTGCATTTTTTGTTATTGGCCAATAGCGGCAGTTAACGCTTGCATTTTTATGCAAAAACGTCCAGGCTCTGTCATGTAGGTGTTGGTTTCGGTTACTAACGTTCGTTTTCATGAGTTACCGTGTATTTTACCATATCACGGTCCCTTTAAGGGGTGGCTCATCCTGGGGTTTCCTCGGGTTTCATTTTACATTCTGCACTTCCTGTTGCTGGAAAAACTGTAATTATTTAAATCTAGAAGTTTTAAAACCATGTGAAAATTCAATAACGATGACCGTGTCAGTTATCAACTTGGTTAAAGGTTTGAAATGTATTTATCTATTATTGGTTATTACCAACACACAAAGAATTATTGTTTTATTACAATTGCAATTATTGCGTAAAAAAAACTATTCAATAATTATCTCAATACTTGCCGGTTCATTTTCAGTCAAACTATATCAATCAACTGGTTTCAGCTCTACTTTATAGAAATGTGATATGATTCAAAGCTACGAATGAACTTATGAACGTTATTGATACGTATCACTCTGCCCTAAATTTGTAAAAAGGATTTTGTTTATTACAATATTAATATATATACATTCAGTACACATTATACCTTTTGGACTTATGTCTATCCATGAAAATGAAATTAAAAAAAACACTTTGGAAAGAAGACAACCAGACACAGTTACGGCTTCATATATATACACAAAATACTATTTATTGATATTTGGTCCCAAATACAACTTTAGGTGCAGAGACTGCTGTAAACTTTGTGCAAATTCCAGACACAACCAGATACACAGCAGATATAAAACCAAACAGAACATATGTGACTATCAGACATAGTCATTGAAATAATTAAAGCCATTTTAGCAGGCCATCATACATCGTATGCATCGTATGCCATCTGCAGCATGTTTAGGAGCCTCTGCCCATCACATGTATAATTACGCTCACAACAGGTGTTCTCCAGCGCACTGAAACCTGCAATCCAGTTTAGAAGCAGTCAAAGACATGAGCATGATACAAGCTCATAATTTTAACATACCATATATGAAGAATCCTCGGGATCCTAAGAATTTCACAACATCTGGAGCCGGTGACGACTTTGTATGGATGTTTTAAAAAATCCCCAAACTCTGACAACTATGACATGAAATTGTATGTTATTAGACAGCAAATAGTTGGTTTGCTTTCCACCCAAAAGAAAAAAAGATGTGGACTGCTGAGAATATCATCCATCAACTTCGAAGCCCCTGTCACTGTATGTCATCGTCGTCAAACAGATCCTCAAAATTTGTGGAAACGAATACCACAATTATTAAAACTACAGTCCCAAAAAAACAATAAAACACAGGCTGTATTTCAAATGCGTCGGCAAGCCGGACATTTTCTCATAAAGCGTTATAGGTTGAGAGGCTCGGAGGGCTGCAGGGTGATAAAAGCAAAAGGATCCTGTGGGTCTGACAGTTTGTGAGGTCAGAGGTCGGCAGCAGAAGTGTATGAACCTGGAAGGGCAATATGTGCCACATCCTCCGTTCATGCACGTACCCTACATTTAAAAGGGCCAGTACGTACGATTTCTGTGATCTATTGACAGAAATGGAATGGAATGTTCGTAGCCGGTGTCCTCTTCACGTCGCGCTGCTCCGCCCTGTTTCCTCACGACACCAGAACGGACAAACCAAACATATTCGCATCACGTGACGGCCACGCTGGTTATCTGACATGGGCCGAGGTGCTGCCAGTACTGCCCGACTTCTGTTGCTCTTTTCAAAACAAATACGGTCTGAAGTCAGTCTACATATGGTACATTTCGTTGCAACTACGCACAAGAGTTAGCACGGCCTTTGTTCTCCACTGTACACAGACTGCTGTTTTAAAAGGTGTCATCAAACACTCAGAACATAGAAAGCAGACCGCACATGACAGAAAAAACAACATACTTGGCTATACTTACCCTCATAAAAACAACCCTTATCTACAATGTAGGACAGGTACGGTCAGGTGAAAAATTCCTTCTGTTCTGTTGTTACTGCTGGGACACAATATCTTTCTCACAGACCCGGACCTAAACTATTCCTCCACAAAACCGCCGTAGACCAAATGTTTCACTAATCGCCACAAATCTTTTGTGAGTGTGAAAGAACTGAGCCACTGTGACAACGATTGTTCGACATTTAACATCCCTTTGTACATGTAAGCCGAGGGATTTCGGGGCTGCTTTTAATGTGCATAGGGACAGTTAAGTGGTACACATCTTCATCAGAAGGGAATAAAGCCTGCCACCCTAAATTAGCCTCATACAAAGCACATCCACAGAGCTCCTGCAGAGAAGTCTGTGTGGAATCTGTGTCGCATATGGCAAGAAGTTGTGGACGTTTGATGTAGCTGAGCCTCGGGACAAGAGGTCGCACTACATTATAAAACGCAGTCGGTAAAAGGGGCACGGGGGTAAAAGGAATGTTTTGGGGCCTGTAAAGAGATTTCCTGCTGTGAAACCAGCAGCGCGCTGACGCCCAGGAGTGAAACAGCATCATGTTCTAATAGATTCAATCTGCCCTATTGGAAGATGACTTGACTCCTGCTCAGTTCACTTCAGATTACCTGAGCAGCAAAAGGAATTTGCATTGAAACAATATCTACGTGTAAAAACCAGTGAGAGGATGAGTACAGCCAAACGCTGTTGTAGGGCTTTATCTTTATCTGCAAATGAAAATAACTTTCAAAAAACAGCGACTGTTTGCGGTCAAATCAAGAAGAAAATTGCATCATACATCAACACAGCTGCCAAGACAAAACAACATTTGTTCAAAACTAAGGACTCCCTATATTGTTCTTTGTTTCTACATGAGGGTTTGTGTATTTGTTTATGACACATCCATCTCCAAGTACTTGCAATCAAACCTCTTCTTTATTTCCCCCCAAAAAATCCCTCCAATAAACAATGTCAGACTCCATTGATTACAATCTGCCGAGCAGCATGAATTTCAGCGCTTTGAGGTACTAATGTTGCAGGGAACAGAGCATTTCTAGTATGAAGAACATTCAACGGCGCTGTAATATTACCAGCGGCACCACCAACTACTTGTCCCCGAAGTCGTCCCAGATGAAGGCAATAACCAGAGTAATAAACTTTGTCGTCTACAGGCACATGAAGCATTGTTGAAATGCTGGACACGCACCCAATCTGCAGCATTTCAGCAAATAATGTATCTTTGGGGACTAACCAAATGTATTATTATTATTATGAATTGTAAGATGGTCATAGCTTAACTAACTCAATGTATCTTTGAACTACAGTTCATCAAATATTCACACAGTTGTTGTTTTTTCATCAAATCATAGACCATGTGTGTATTGCATTGTTGAAAAGAATATAGCCACACATCTCTGGTTTTAAAAGATGTGGTTTGATTGAAGGCCAATGCCTGCAGATAACGTGGACTAAGTCAATGCATAACCAAAAATAAGTCTGTATTTTCCTCAACATTTCACGAGGGGCTCAAGTAGTGGTTTTGCTCTTAGGAAAAAGTAAGCAATGGCTCGTTGTATGTATATAGAGACATTGTTTGACATTGAAGAAGTCGGAGTGAACTGCTTTTTCATTTGCGGCCAGGTCCATCAGCAGTCCTGTGCTTCCCCCAGCCTGCCGGAAAACAAACATGCAGCGCAGAGGCATATGCAAACCCAGAAAGCCATTCAAACAGCAATTACTGATTTAAAATTTGTTTTTTGTATACATCATTTGTGGTCAAACATAAATCTACAATGATGTTTTATTTTGTATTCTTAAATAATGGTCTCTAAATAAGTAAATGCTAAAATCTATTTTGAATAGACATGTGATAGCTATCAAATTTTGTTTTGATTATCTTGGTATGACTTGAATTATCGCCCAAAGTTGGCTGGGATGGACTCCAGCCCCCCCGCGACCCTGCGTGCAGGATAAACGGTTTGACAATGGATGGATGGATGTTATGACTGGAATTATTTAAATAAAATGAGGGTCAATACTGAAAAAATACTAAGTATAATAAGTATGTGCACACAGTTAAAGGCTCCTTGACTCAGACCTGAAGTGACATAATTCACTTATACACAGAACCATTTACCGTACAAGAATGATACACATACAGCTTAAAAACAACAAAGCGGCACAGGTCTTTGGTGCATTATATAAAAAAATATTCAGAGGAAATTATAGGGCTTTATGTGACAAAATACATTTTGGTTGACTGACTCATAATATTTAGTCAATTAAACAAATAGATGATTTAATTGACATATCTGTAAAGATAAGGTAAGAAAGGTAAGAAACCCTTTTAAAGGTAAGAAACCCTTTTTCTTGGTGCTTTTCCACAACACATTTAAATACTGTCTAAACATAAGTTTTCTTATATTCTGCACGGAATTTAGAAAAAAACAAAGTTTAATCAACTAAATAATTCTTAATCGAGCAAACCAACTACGTAAACGACTAAAGAGGCCCCTAGGAAATAGTAATGAACCCAAAGTACTGCAAAATTCAAGGAACATGAATATTGAATACAAAAACTACAATAAACATGTTATTCACTACTTCAGTACAACATAACGGGGCAGTGGAGATTTGAAGGGGGAAAGTAATAGATTACTTTATATACAGTGGCTATATATATATAATGATAATATTATAATAGTAATAATTTGCAGGTAAACAGTAATGGTCGTGTTATATGTTATAGATTTAACTGTTTATACTATATGACAGGTAACCATGCTGTCGGGGTTGTACAACATCATAACGTGACACAATGAATGTTTCCAAGGCGACACACTACGCTTCCATTAGCACGTTGAAACTATTAGCATTAGCATTTATTATTGGCAACCTTAAGAAGATTACCGTATAGTCGGAATTTCACTATTGCGGTATAATGCACCAAAAGGTGCAATAACGCCACAGTCTACAGTTGTACAGCTTATTGTTTATTGTAACGTTATATAAGTAACGTTAGCTAACGTCACCTAAGCTAATGAGCTAGCCAGCTTAGCTAACAGACCTCATCCAGATCAACGGAGGGCCCCGCTCCCTCGGGAAACATCTCATCCACCGCTGGTTTCATGGCCGCGGTTAAGATTGAATGATCCTTAGGGTGCATCGATGAACCATGGGGTGCTATCGCGAACTATTCATCAAATGATAAACTAGAGAAGCTACAGAAAAGTGGCCACACACAGACAAGTTGATGCGGTGGGCTTTAAAAATAAATCCGACACAGAGGTTAGTAGAAGACACAAAGGTTCCGCTTCAGGTGTTCAGGTGAGCTGTAATGGGTCAAATGATGGCCTAATTTAGTTTATAAACTTGGCATCTTTAATATCAGGTCTATTTTGACAACTGCAAAACATCCTCCTGAATTCATCTTTTTCATGTACAGTATGTTCATATTTCATGTATCATTTTGCTTTATAGCTTGTTTTTAGCAAAGGTTCTTTTTTCTTTTTCGAGGTGTTTGTCATTGTCTGACGTAAGGGTCCAGAAAGGTCAGCTTGTAAAGCGTCCTGTGGCAGATATAAAATTTGTGAAATTGGGAATTGATATGAATTTACATACGGTTCCATAACACATTATAATACCGCAATAAAGCTTGCAGTTTATCACCATAGCCTACCATTTGTTTTATGCATAACATAAACATCACTGGCAACCTTTAACTCTAAATGTTGTTCAGGGTATAATTGAAGTGAAAATAATGTCTCAAGACATAAAATAATATTTCATCACAAGACAGTTTTAGAGGTGTATAAAACCTTTAAAAATAATACATTTTCATATGTTGATGAACATTTTTATGGAAGAGATAAATAATTGTATCTCCTGTCAACAACAGCACCATCTTCTGCTGCATTTCAATCACTGCTTAGACAGTTTTGTCACAGTCCTTCTGCTTGCTGGGAATCATCCTGCTCACGTCAATGTCGTTCTTCGCAAAGACCTCCATGGCTTTCTCCATGGTGGCTTCCGGCAGGGTTCGTGTTCGGCCCAGGATCCAGGCGAAGTCGACGTGGAAAAGCCTCAGGATGTCGGTGCAGGAGTACACCAGGGCCGAGTTCACGTAGTCAGTGGACAGGATCCAGTAAGGGGAGTAGGGCAGAACTGTGAGGGTACAAAACAGAAATTAAAAGCAGATAACCTACAAATAGTATAATGTCCATTTATGTAAAGAACGCCACTAACATCTTCATCTTATTATAAAAGCGCCTGCTCACCGTAGGAATAACTTATCCCCAGTTTAGCCGGGTTCTTCATGTCCTCGATGACGCCGGCCCCTTCGATCTTCTTCAGCTTTGCTTTTCTGTTTAATTCCACAAACACGCCATGTAATATCACCTCCAGATTCCATGATTGAACAAAGAAAAGTGCACGTAGGACTTACAGTATTTCAGAGCTGACCACTCGAATCAACTTGTCTGTCTTCAAAGTGAAATTGGTTTCGATGCACCGACCCTTCTCAAACTGGGCCGGCAGTTTGGCAATTTCAAACCATCTCCCCATGAACTGTGGGTGCAAAGACAATACAGAGCACTGTCAGCGGAAACGATGAATAAATCGACACGCATGAGTGGACTCAGTAGAAAAAGGTTTCCCCACTGGTGGAAAGTGATATATATTTTCTCAATTACTCTATTTTATTACAATCTTGACTTTAACTTTCCATTTTATGCTATTCTACACTTTACATACATTTCAGAGACAATGTTTTTTCATTTTAAACTTCTAGTATAAAGTACTACTAGTACAGTGAAACACATTATATGTCAGATGTGGGATATATAAATATTTTCTAAAAAAATACAAATATAACATTCCTATATTACAAGAGAGAAAAAGTTGTTGACATTTTGATTAATAAATGTTCTGCCTACTACAACATTATGATGAGTTATGAAACATTAATTGTCTTGCGAAGAGGATGATAACAAGAAACTTGCTGTTAAATATAATCATGAACGGCATAAACATCAAATCACATTTAACACGATAACTTAATAAACATACATACGTAATTATTGACAACATTTTAAAAACAAACAATTATAGCAGTGCTTCATGCAAATAAATACATTTTAGAGGCTTTTTTTAGATAGAATATGCGAACTTCTCATGTCATCCACCGCCATGAGTCATCAGTCGACCATTTATTTATCATTTTCTCGTTGACGTGGCTTCTACCTGTTTCAGGTCGAAGGCCGGTTGAACCTCCGGCTCCGGACATGGACCCCAGTGAGGAACCTGAGCCGCGATCAGCGGGAGGATGAACGCAAACACCGCGGCGAAAACCACCTTCATGTCGAGACGGGCCTTTGTTACCTGCAAGAGGAAAAGGACAAGAATTGAACAAACGTAAATAATTCAATACAAACAACAAGGTTTTCATGTGAAAAGTTTACTAGAAGATACATTCATGTGCAAAAAGAAATACATACAACAATAACATTTTCCCTTAAAGTAACTTTCCAACTATTTCCATCACCAATCATCCATTGTTACCTCTGTGTCCCGGTTGGTTCAGTATGTTCTCTCCCTCCAGCAGATTCTGTTATTTGAATTAGAGACGTGGCTCTCGGGGAGGTTTTGCAGCGCTGCACCGTTGTCACGTCAATGGGTGCCTTTGTGTAGAGCCCAGCTTCATTTCAGACATGAAGTGAACTATTAGCAAAGTGGAGTCATGGGAGACACACCAGTAGACATTTATTAAACAATTGGGATGTGTTTCTGGTTTAGGTGAATGTGGAGTCTTTTTGAAATAGAATATTTGCGGATTTCTTTAAGGGACTAGAACATCATTATGTGGTTCAAAAAAAAAGATTGAATGTATTTTCCACCCCAAGAAATGAAACGTCCAACAAACTGATACATTAGATTTTGCCTAATTCAATAATAATTTGTCATATTGTCGTCACAGCTTATTAATGTGATGTTGTTAAAACACGTGCCTCTATAGACTGTAATCCTGTTCTTTCTGTCCACTACTACTATTGAAAGCTTTAGTACGACATGCAGACATACGTTTTTACTTACTTCTGCTCGATCCCCACTCTACATCTCGCACAATTATCAGGTTTTAATGATTTATTATGTCACACATTACGTGGAATTGCTCCCAGAATATTTGACACATACAGTAATCATTGTTACGGCCACATGTGTTCCCTTCAGTCTGACCTTTTTTCCAAATTGTCATTTGAGTCCTTTGTGTTGGTTTGTGTTGGTTTTCAGCCAATGTAACTGGTGACTCTCATCCTGTCAGTCATCAGGACTCCACGTAGTCCAAGAACAAAGAGTTCAATAACATCATTCCACGCGTGTTTAATTGGTGGTGGCTTGTGTTTGCAAAGCGATGGAGTGTAATTACACAATGAGGTATATAAACATAATTCTTCAATTCAATTTGAACAAATTCAACCAGATTCGTAAATTAGTGAATTTATTTTTCTTTGGTTTCGACCGTACTCCACATATTCTTACACACAAGAGGCTGCAGGACTACCAGGACTGTTGAACACTCAACAGGATCAAAACAAAGATGGAGAAACTGATTTCCTAAATGTATCAATTTATTTATTATGTTGAAAATGGCCCCAGTAAAATAATTGCATTTGAGAAGCTGAAACCATGGAAACCTTTGGCAAGAAAAAGGAGTTAAATTATATTCTGTTAATCAACTTCATTAATTAATTGACCTTGTTTTTGGCTTGTGTAACTTATAACACAATGCCATATTTGATAAACTCTGAACAAAAATGATCATTTTAAGTGAGATTCTAAATTATGTAACATTTTTAAACTGTGTTTTTCTTGCTTTGAATCAAGAGCAATAAGAAAAGCCTCATTGGATGTGAAATAGGAAGTATTTAACTTACATCACTATCAATCCGATTAATCAGTCAATCAATCCCCGTTTCTCATCCATTAGATCGAACACAAACAGAATTATTAAATGTGTGATAGTGGAATCAACGTGTTACAGCAACATTCATGGATACGTGTGATGTTTGGGCTCCAGCCACCTGTGTACACGCACACACACACACACACACACACACACACACACACACACACACACAGAAACTGAAAGTTCAGCATGGGGAAGTAAACACAAAGTCATATTTGCTACACAAACACACACATAAACCTTGGGAATGTTACCTTCTGCTGCTGAGGGACAGCAGAGGGGACAACACCATCTGTGACCTTTCACCTAAATTGAGAGGACAGCCTTCTCGACAGCCACATTTGGGGTTTTTATTTGTTCAATGATATTTTTAGTAAAATATATTGATTCGGGACTCCGAGGGTCCATGAACAGAGGACTGTTTTAATTGAGGTGAAGATAAAGTGCAATTATTTTGTAAATGATTTATACAGCCGCTTTGATTCATTGACATCCCTTAACAGAGGGTATCGTATTCTGATCTTGTTGTAAACCCTGATAGGCAAGTTTCTGATTTGTGCCTAAAAAACAAATTAGAACTAACACACTATCTGATAACTACATTGAAACACTGGACCCTTGCAGGACAAATCTGACTCACACTGCTGTACTCAAGATGAACAAGCTGTCATGCCAATGTCATGATCTATAGAACACATATTTTTAACATTTTATCATTATAATTACACATTATAATAATAGATATTCATTAAATTACATTCATCCATTCATTCATTTAATGTACCTTTGCTCCATGAGACGAATAATAAGATGTTTTTCATTGTTTATTGACTGGTTGGTGTTATAACAGTGACTGAGGGGACTGTTTGAATAAGCTGACCTTGGACAAAGATAAGAATCCCACTGCCTATGTTTTTATGGTTTTGGTCAAACATGCCTGAGAATGTGTCACATTTGATCATCTTTCCAACACCTTTATCGCTGCTTGTTGTGATAGCTAGAAGTTTAATAGACTCATCACCGCTGCAAAGTGGTTTAAAAAGCCTTTCCCGCACTTTGCTAAAGCAGGGCAGTGATTAACAGTGACCACTGAGGCAGAGAAAGCAGCTGTGGGAGTATCAAGAACACCTGAGGCACCTGTGCCCAGTGAGTCTTTCCTTCACGCAGGTTTGGCCGTTAGTTGATGCCGAGATGGCTCGAGGTGAATGAAAGTGGTCCGATGAATTAAGTGGTCACCTCAGACGGCACCTATGATTGGAGATTGGGAGACTGATGTGTTGTTGGTGATGAAAATCATACTTCCTATAAGTAATGTCCTTCCAGGCAGAAGGACTAGCAATACATTTACCTTACTGCTTGTTATATGAATTTAACAGCTGAAGGCGGGTGCGAAATACCGTCATTGATTTTCTTTGCTGAGGCCTGGAAAATCAATGGCAGCTCCATGTTTATCCAGTAAACACGCTGCTAGTGGGTGGTGAGCTTAACTTGGCAAGAAGACTGGAAAGTGGACACTGCGATTATGGCCACAAAAAAATGTGGTCAATGGAAACCACGTTTATTGAGCTTTAGAGTCGCTAAGCTAACAACTACCTGTAGCGTAATGTTTACCGGAGACAAATAAGTATCAATCTTTGAATCAAACTTATTTTCGGGCAAAGATGTAAGTGAATACACACATTTATTAAATTGCACAATCTATAGAACTCTTAATAGTTAAATGGACTTTAGGTTTTGGATGATTCATGAGACCATCTTTCCAACGCCATGCAAATTTTCCCTGGGATCATGACTTTGGGAAGGAAATGCAAAATATTTAAGCTGTGCAAATAAGCAAATGCAAATTTTAAACTCCAACAGATCCAATGAGGATAAAAGTGGTCTCTTCACTCCACAACATGAAAAATGCATTTCTTCAGTTCACAGAACATCAGCTTGACTGCTTTTGAAACTGGTTTCCTGTATACAGGAGCACCAAGATATTTAGATATTTCGGATCGTGTTTGTCATTTTTATTCATCTTGTGAATTATTTTTATAATTATTTTGTCAGTTTTTAACAATAGTTGCTCTTGAGAAAGTGATATAAAAATGGAGTTGATTTTATTGAAATGAATGCACTGAGAGGAATTAATGAGATACATATTTAATTCTACAGAGATCAGGAGGGGAGTCTTGTTTGAACAGGTGACAACTCTCACACTCATTCCCCCTCCTCAACACGTTTATACACAGACAAGAGGAGGGGCTGAAGGATGTGGTCAATAGGTTCATTCGATCCATAAAAGCTCCTCACCACAGAATGATCTGCACACCGGTATTAACTCTGATTACATACAGGTGAACAGACAGCAGCCACAACTCTTCCTCCTCACAACGCCTGGAAGAAGATCTCTCAGTAGAAACTCCTGATTGTCAATAATCTTGCTGTTTTGTTGTCTGCAGGTGGTATTAACAAGATGAAGGCCATGCAGGTGATTTTCTTGACTCTTCTGGTTGTCCTGGTAACCAGCGCTCAGGTGTTGAAGTCCGGCAAATGTCCCAAACCAGCTGTTCAGGCCAACTTTGACGCTTCCAAGGTCATTACCAACTTCATTCGCTACTGATTATGTAACTGACAACGTTCCCTTTTCTGCATTAATAAAACGTTTCTTTTCTGTGTTTCCTCTGCAGTACCTCGGTAAATGGTACGAGATCAAGAAGCTGCCAAACCGCTTCCAGCTGGGAGAGTGCAGCACTGCCCTCTACAACCTGAAGAGTCCTGGAGTCATCGAGGTCCTCAACAGCGAGCTGCTGTGAGTGCATGTTGATGCCGACATTTAACATTTCAAACTCTTAAAAAAAAAATAATGTGTGTACTTTCCACTCAATACTGACAGTGTTTCATGTTTGTGAAAGTACATAATCTAGTGAAATTAGATGAAGACTAGATAAGGCAACTGTCTGGCAACTGACAACTTGATTTGTTTATTTTTAGTGGCGATGGAACCATTAGTTCTGTCGTTGGCACTGCCACAGTCAAGGACCCCTCTGATCCTGCCAAGCTGGAGGTCACCTTCTTTCAAGGTGAATATCTTTCGGTCAATGTTTGGTACTTTCTTCTGTATATGTAATATCCCAGCAGGTTTCACTCTTTTTTACTCGTCTCTCTTGCAGGAACTCCTCCTGGTCCGTACTGGGTTCTGTCCACAGACTACGAGAGTCACTCCCTGGTCTACGGCTGCACCGACTACGGCCTGTTCCACCTCGAGTACTCGTGGATCCTGAGCAGAGAGCCCACTCTGCCCGAGGAGACCTTAGAGGAGCTGGATGGCATCTTGTCCTCGATCGGAGTCGACGTGAACAAGTTGGACCCAACCAACCAGAATGAGGCTTTCTGCAGCGCCATGCACAAGTAAACAGAGATAGTCCCGTTTCAGCCTCTGCAAGACGAGGCGACTTGGATCCATGACGAGATGACACACAGCTGCAGTGTGAGCTGCTTCCCCCTGTGGATACATCAAGCAAAGTCATTGCAATAAAAAAGTGAAAACGAAATGCATGCTGCTGTGTTATTTCTGCTTTAGACCCACAGGCCTTATTCTAAATTATAAAGGAAAATAAATACTACAACTCACATTTCAATAAATTTAAATTATCAGTGTGAGAAAAGGCACATTTTCTCTTTCCAGGGGGATTTCTGCCTTAATGTTTTTTTAATGTAAAATAAAGTAATTACTACTAATGTGAATCCTTGGGAGTCAGAACTGATTGAAACTGAAATCCAAATTGATAAATTAAATTAATGTGTAATTTGAAGTACTTTTTAGCGACGGTTTCTCTTCAACAAACTAGCGTTAAACAGCAAGTATTGGACTGTACACGACTAGATGGTGACAATAAGACAGTTTGTCACCAAGCAAAAGAAATTCTTCTTTTGAATCAACGTCAAAAATACACATATAAAACAGTGAAACACATACACACACGTAAACAATGGAAATTAGAATTGATTAGAACAGTGCTGGCAGTCAGGACCTGTTTTAATATGTTTAGGGTGAAGATAGAGTACAATTCTTTTGTAAATAATGAATCTGCTGTGTGCTGATCAGATTGAAAAGCCTCAGAGGCCAGTTTGTGATTTGTGTCTAAAAAAAACTGCACAAAAAAACTAATAAGGACCTTCACACCAGCTGGTAACTACATTCAAATACTGAACTCAAGCACAACGACTGTGACTCACACTGCTGTGCCCACGATGAACAACCTTGTTTCTTATTACCAGTTTGAGCATTTCATGCTCTATAGAACGCATACTTTAAGGAAGTTAAGAAGCATATATATTTGATCATACGTGATTAACCATTTAGCTGGATATGTATGACATTACATCAGTACACTTCATTTCTAAAACATTTGCTTCAGGCAACGATGTTTTTCATTGATTATTAACTGGTGTTATAACAGTGGCTGAGGGGACTGTGTGGTCGAGCTGACAGTGTTTGCTGACACAATGCAGAAAGCATGTTTAGTGAGCTTTAGAGTTGCTTTATTATGATCCGGAATAGCCAAGCTAATGCTAAGCTAACAACTGCTACCTGTAACATAGTGTTTACCAGACACACATGAGTATCAATCTTTGAATCTAACTAGTTTTCTGCAAAAATGTAAGTGAATACACACATTTAGGCAAAATGTCTGCATTGTCTACGGAACTAATTAAATGGACACTGAAGAGTTTCGGGGGATTTGTGAGACCATCTTTCCAACACTTACTTGAATTCCATGTACATTTACCCTGGGATAATGATATTGGGGAGAAAATGTAAAACAATTTAAGCTGTGCAAATACACAAATGCAAAGTTTAAACTCCAACAAATCTAATAAGGATAAAAGTGGTCTCTTAAGTCCACAACATGAAAAATGCATTTCTTCAGTTCACAGAACATCAGCGTTGCTGCTTTTGAAACTGGTTTCCTGTGTACAGGAGCACCAAGATATTTAGATATTATGGATGTTGTTTGGGATTATTATTCATCTAATAAATCATTTTCCCATTTATCTTTTCAGTTTTTGACAAAGGACCCTCATAAGAAAAAGTGATATAGAAAATGGAGTCGGTTTTATTGAACTTATTGTACTGAGAGGAATCAATGAGATACAAATTAAATTCTACAGAGATCAGGAGGGGAGTCTTGTTTGAACAGGTGACAACTCTCACACTCATTCCCCCTCCTCAACACGTTTACATGTAAACCGAAGAGGAGGGGCTGAAGAATGCATATGTTCATTTGATCCATAAAAGCTCCTCACCACAGAATGATCTGCACACCGGTATTAACTCTGATTACATACAGGTGAACAGACAGCAGCCACAACTCTTCCTCCTCACAACGCCTGGAAGAAGATCTCTCAGTAGAAACTCCTGATTCTCAATAATCTTTCTGTTTTGTTGTCTGCAGGTCGTATTACCAAGATGAAGGCTATGCAGGTGATTCTCTTGACTCTTCTGGTTGTCCTGGTAACCAGCGCTCAGTACGACGACAGTTGTCCCAAACCAGATGTGCAGGCCAACTTCGATGTTTCCAAGGTTATTACTAAGTCCCTTAACTGCCATTATGTAAATGACAACATTCCCTGTTCTGCATTAACTAAATGTTTCCTTTGTGTGAAATCCTGTGTTTCCTCTGCAGTACCTTGGCAAGTGGTACGGGATCAAGAAGCTGCCAACACCCTTCCAGAAAGGCGAGTGCAGCACTGCCTTCTACAGCCTGAAGAGTTCTGGAGAAATCGGGGTCCTCAACAGTGGGCTGCTGTGAGTACATTTAACATTTCAGGGTTTATATACAGATTGTTTTTTAGATAACTGCTTCAACTTAATAACACATTTGGAACTACAATTACTTTGGGCTTTCTTGAAGAAATTGTACTTTCTTGATTCTTGTTGTTTTGGCTATTTACCCTCTTGGTTGTAAGCACTTATTGTAAGTCGCTTTGGATGAAAGTGTCAGCTAAATGAAACATGTAAATGTACTCATTTCTCCTTGAAACAATAATTATCAGAGCAAATCAAGTATTTTAAGCCTCTATTTTAAGTGTCATTTCAAAATAAACATCCAGATGAGGGGGTTGCTTCTACACAAATATGAATATTAGTTTTAAATTCATGCATAAACAGAATGTAATGGAACTAGATGAAGGCTTCTAACTGAAGTAAATATAACAGCAGTGATTTTTTGTTTTCCTTCCTCCTTTTTTAGTGAAGATGGAACCATTAGATCCGCTGTTGCCACTGCCACGGTCAAGGACCCCTCTGATCCTGCCAAGCTGGCGGTCTCCTTCTCTCCAGGTAAATATTTCACTTCATCTGAGTAGTTGCTTGTGTAATATTCCAACAGTTTTCACTCTCATAGTCATCCCTCTCCCAGAATCTTCTGCTCCCTACTGGGTGCTGTCCACAGACTATGAGGGTCACTCCCTGGTCTACAGCTGCACCAACCGCCAGTCCGGCAGAGAGTACGCTTGGATCCTGAGCAGAGAGCCCACTCTGCCCGAGGAGACCGTGAAGAAGCTGGAAGACGTCTTGTCCTCGATCGGAATCGACGTGGACAAGATGGCCCCAACCAACCAGAATGAGAATTACTGCAGCGTCATGCGCCAGTAGACAGAGATAGTCCCGTTTCAGCCTCTGCAGCACTGAGACGAGGCGACTTGGATCCATGGTGAGATGACACACAGCTGTATGCAGTGTGAGCTGCTTCCCCCTGTGGATACATCAAGCAAAGTCATTGCAATAAAAAAGTGAAAACGAAATGCATGCTGCTGTGTTATTTCTGCTTTAGACCCACAGGCCTTATTATATACTACAAAGGAAAATAAATACCACAACTCACATTTCAATAAATTTAAATTATCAGTGTGAAACAGGCACATTTTCTTTTCTCCAGATGTTGAGTCCAAAAAACTGCCAGTGGGATTTCTGCCTTAATGTTTTTCTAATATAAAATAAAGTAATTACTACTGATGCGAATCCTTGGGAGTCAGAACTCATTGAAACTGAAATCCAACATGATAAATGGCTACAGAGATTACTGGGCAATGTGATGTTCTCATTAGGGACGGTTTCTCTTCCACAAACCAGTGTTAAACAGCAGGTTTTGGACGGTGCACGACTAGATGGTTACGATGAGATAACAAAGTATATACAGTCCGTCACCAAGCAACATGAATGCTCCTTTTGAATCAATGTCAAACAATGCACATGTAAAACCTTGAAGCACGCACACACCATAAACAATGGAGATTAGAATTGATGAGGACAGTGTTGGCAGTGAGGACATGGAGCCTGTTTTCATTTGTTTAGGGTGAAGATAGAGTACAATTCTTCTGTAAATAATGTATCTCTATATGCAGCAGTTTTCATTCATTGACATCCATGAACAGAGGATGTTGTGTGCTGATCCGATTGAAAAGCCTCAGAGGCCAGTTTGTGATTTGTGTCTAAAAAAAGACTGCACAAAAAACTAATAAGGACCTACACACCAGCTGGTAACTACATTTAAATACTGAACTCAAGCACAACGACTGTGACTCACACTGCTGTGCCCACGATGAACAACCTTGTTTCTTTTTATCAATTTAAGCACGTCATGCTCTATAGAACACATATTTTAAGGAAGTTAAGGAGCATATTCAAACATTATACTTGATTAAAAGTTTATATATATATATTTATTTACATATATGCATTACATTTTTCATTCATGTAGTAAATATTTGCTCCATGAAACAAATGATTTGTTTTTCATTGTTTATTAACTGGTTGGTGTTATAACAGTGGCTGAGGGGACTATTTGGATAGACTGACCTTGAACAAAGATAAGAATCCCACTGCCTATATTTTCATGGTCAAACATGCCTGAGAACGTGTCACGCTGGAGCGTCCAAGGTAACTTTTAGATGAAAATCCTCTCTGTTTTTACAATACGAGGGTAAAAAAAAAAAAAACGCTAAAGCTGCAGAATTACCTTACTTGACTTTCCATTCATCCAAAACCAAAACGTTCAATTGCAGATAATGTTTCAACCACGATCAATGTAGTACTACCTGTATTGTGTTTAGTATTGGAGGAGTTACAGCAGTGGGGTCCAATAGGTCGATCGCCACAGTGCCAGTAGATCGCCTGCCATTGAAAAAAAAATAATAATCACGTTGCGCATGCGTGGTTGAGCGCTGGAGCTGACCTGCTAATCAGCGATCCTTGCTTACTAACGGACGCATTTAAGTTCATCCAAAAGCAAGTCATCGGTGAGGTAATGACCAAGAATGTGTGGAATGCTTCTCACAGAGCACAGGCTCTTGTTTTTTTAATATGACAATTTGTTTTGCCCCTCGGAGGGGGGGCAGATGACTCGGTCAGTTGAAAAGTAGCTCTGTAGCCGGAAAAGTGTGGTCACCTGAGACAGCACCAATGTTTACAGAGATTGGGAGACTGATGTTGGAGCAAAATGTTGTGTTGTTGGTAATGAAAATCGTACTTCCTGTCTCTAATGTCCTTCCAGGACTAGAAATACATTTACGTTACCTTTTGTTATATGAATCTAACAGCTGAAGGCAGGTGGGAAATACCGTTATTGATATTCCTTGCTGAGGCCTGGAGAGTCAATGGCAGCTCCATGTTTATCCAGTGAACACGATGCTAGTGGGTAGTAAGTTTAACTTAGCACGAAGACTGGAAAGAAGAGGAAACTGTGATTATGGCCACAAAAATAGCGTTAATAGAAACCATGTTTAGTGAGCTTTAGAGTCGATTTATTCAGATCCAGGATAGCCGAGCTAATGCTAAGCTAACAACCGCTACCTGAAGTGTGATGTTTATCACACAAAAAGAAGCATCAATGTTGGAATCAAACTAATTTTCTGCAAATAAGTAGAATACATACACTTCCCAAAATGTCTGCACTGTCTATAGAACTATTAATAATTAAATGGACTGGATTCATGAGACCATCTTTCTCTGGGATCATGACTTTGGGGAGAAAATGTAAAATATTTAAGCTGTGCAAATACACAAATGCAAATTTTAAACTCCAACAAATCTAATAAGGATAAAAGTGGTCTCTTAAGCCCACAACATGAAAAATGCATTTCTTCAGTTCACAGAATATCAGCTTGACTGCTTTTGAAACTCTTCCTCCTCACAACACATGGAAGAAGGTCTCTCAGTAGAAACTCCTGATTCTCAATAATCTTGCTGTTCTGTTGTCTGCAGGTTGTATTAACAAGATGAAGGCCATGCAGGTGATTTCCTTGACTCTTCTGGTTGTCTTGGTAACCAGCGCTCAGGTGTTGAAGTCCGGCAAATGTCCCGAACCAGCTGTTCAGGCCAACTTTGACGCTTCCAAGGTCATAACCAACTTCCTTTGCTAATATCCATTATGTAAATGACAACATTCCCTGTTCTGCATTGATTCAATGTTTCCTTTGTGTGAAATCCTCTGTTTCCTCTGCAGTACCTTGGCAAGTGGTACGGGATCAAGAGGCTGCAAAATTCCTTCCAGAAAAGCAAGTGCAGCACTGCCCTCTACAGCCTGAAGAGTTATGGAGTCCTCAGGGTCCTCAACAGAGGGCTGCTGTGAGTAAATGTTGCCAATATTTAACATTCGAATGACAATTACTCAGCAAATCAAGCATTTTCATCCTCTAGATGAGTGTAATATCAAAATAAATAAACATCCTCATGGAAAGATTACCTCCACACACATTTGTATATTTATATTGCAACATTGTACTTTTATTTTTAAATCAGGTATTAAATCATCGGCCAAAACCCCTGCACCAAGAACCTACAGGATAACACTGTTTTAAATTCATGCATGAAGAGAATTTAGTCAAACGAAAAGACTTCTGAGGGAAATAAATGTGACAACAGTGATTTCTATTTATTTTAGTGACGATGGAAACATCACTTCTGTTGTTGGCACTGCCACGGTCAAGGACCCCTCTGAGCCTGCCAAGCTGGAGGTCTCCTTCTCTCAACGTAAATATTTCAGTCAATCTGAGTACTTCCTTGTGTTACACTACAGCGGCTTTGTCTCTCATACTGGTCTCTCTTCCAGATTCTCCTCCTGGTCCCTACTGGGTGCTGTCCACAGACTATGAGGGTCACTCCCTGGTGTACAGCTGCAAGGATAACGGCCTTGTCAGCAGGGAGCTCGTGTGGATCCTGAGCAGAGGGCCCACTCTGCCCGAGGAGACCTTACAGGAGCTGGAAGGCATCTTGTCCTCGATCGGAGTCGATGTGAACAAGATGCTTCCCAACAACCAGAATGAGACTTACTGCAGCCCAATGTACGAGCAAGCGGAGACACTCCCGTTATAGCCTCTGCAGGACTGAGACGAGGCCACTTTGTTCAATGACATCATCAAGTACAGCTCCGTGCAGTGTGAGCTGCTTCACCCTGTACATGCAAACTCAATAAACATGTAAACAAATATATACGTTGCAGTATTTTTCTTCCTCAGACCCACAGGGCTTATTCTGAACTTTCGATGGGAAATAAATACTACAATTTACATGTCATTACATTTTTATCGTCAGCGTTATTTTTTGCAAATGCTGCATGTGGGATTTCTGCCTCAAAGTTTTTCTAATATAAAATAAAATTACCAAATAAAAGTAATTTGAAACACAAACATGATGAAGATAAAAATTGGCAAGAGAAGTGTCTGTTTTGTTTGAGGTGAAGATCGTAAAAAGAGTATGATTTCCTTATAAAACAGCCATTCATCTCCGTATACAGAGCTTATACGTTTATGTTAAATGGAAAACGCTCAGGGTCTTCTACTCAACAGCCATAAGAATAAATAGCATTTAAATAGAAAAAAACTGCCTCTTTAAAACAACTCTCCTACAATTTGTTTACAAATGCAAATATACAGTAAAAGATACAGTAGGAACTAAACATTTAAACAATTAAAGGGCTACCGTTTCAATTGCAATACTTATTAAATTAGCTGAATTAGCTACTTAAATTAGTTAAGCATGCACTATATAATATATGATTGTGTGCAGATTATTGTCAAACAATCCATCCGAGATTAACCCAAAAGGAGGCTCACAGGAAAAACACCAGTCCAAAACCTTTACCGGTGTTTAAATAAGTTTATTGCAGAAGCACAACTCCAAGCACCACACATGAGCGGAGGCCTTCAGACATCAACAGGTGCAACTCAGTCGGTTCACTGGTTCATGGTGCTGCAGTACGCTGCATCCTGATTGGTGGTGAGCAGCTTGTCCACTTTGACTCCAATGGCGGCCAGCTGGCTCCGCAGCTCCTCCAGGGTCTCCTTGGGCAGCGTGGGCTGCCTGCTCATTATCCAGGCAAAGTCCACGTGCAGCAACTCGAGGTCGGTGCAGCTGTAGACCAGAGTGTAGCTGTCGTAGTCGGTGGAAAGCACCCAGTAAGGAGCGGGGGGAGCGTCTGGAGGTGCGAAGGGACAAGAGAGTCGAGTGAACCCATTTTATCAAGTGGTATAAAACTGCAAAGTAGTAGCAATCTTTGCAGATTTGCAATAAATCAAATGTCCTTACTCTCAAAGAAGGAGACGAGCAGCTTGGCAGGCTCAGAGGCATCCTTTGCTGTGGCAGAGCCACTGATGGAGTCTATGGTCCCATTAGCACTAAAAGAAACAAAAGGTTCAAAGGTGTTAGCAGCATAAATATATTGAGAGAATTAACTAAAAGCACTTGTGCTGCAGAACGGCTGCATTATAATATAGGTCATATTAATTGATTATTATTACTTATGCTTGAATTCGTAAGCAGCATTTGTGACAGATTATGAATCTCGAGCACATTTCAAGTACTGTATATACTTTTGTAAGGTGTGAAGTCAATGTATCAATGTATTGGAGTGAACAATATAGAGTAGAATACAAAGTGCAATACTCAATTGAAGTGTTGTACAGTGCAGAAAATCAAAAATCATGTCCTGGAAGGCACAGCTTGTGCTAAAGTTTTAGTTCTTAGCTTAAAGGGGGAAGTTTGGTGGAACATGTGTAAAGCCTGTTTAGATGCAGGCAGGAGTACTCACAGCAGCTCGCGGTTGAGGACACCAACGACTCCGGGGCTCTGCAGGCTGTAGGTGGCAGTGGAGCAGTCGCCGTACTGGAAGGCATGTGGCAGCCGCTGGATTTCATACCAATTACCCAGATACTGCAGGAGCAAGAGCACGACTGTACGTTGTGGTTGATGAAGAGCTGCAGATTCTTGAGGATTTAAGTGATTTTTTTTTCTTTTATCTTCATCTAGAATTAAAAGTAAAGGAAATGAAATAGAAATTATGACATATCTGAAGGGGGGAAAAGGGTTAGTTATTTACCCTGGCAGTGTCAAAGTTCTCTTGAACAGCAGGCTGGGGGCATTTTCCCGGCATGATGACCTGAGCGTTTGCCGCCAGAACGGACAGCAGAGCGAGAAAAATCACCTGGACGGCTTTCATCTTTTCTCCACAACCTGTTTTCAAAAAAAAAATACTTTTTGGTCACTCAGATTTAAGAATTTCAGATAAACAGAGTAACCGGAGAAGAAAAAGGAGGAGAAGAAAAAGGGGGAGAAGAAAAAGGGGGTGGGGGGGGCAATCATACTGCTGGCTTGCTTACCTGTTTTACCGGCGATGTGGTGACGTTTTGAGTTTTTTGGTCTTTTTATAGATCTGTTTCCAGCTCCACCTCCATGTGTACTTCTCAGGTTATTATGAGAACGTGGTGCGAGAAATAGCACCTGTTCCCTTTTTGTGTTTAGACAGTTCGATAACTGCAAAGCTGCTGTAGATAAGTGGATTCTTAAAGTAGATGTACATAACATTCAGAGAAATCAGTGAAGAAATGATGATGTAAACTGCACAGCAATGTATAAAACACTTAGAAGTAGTATCTCTACACTTTCATTTATTTATATGATTTGTCTAAGAGGCAATAAATTAATTAATAAACTTAACTGGAATCGTAAATGTTGGACATTATTTTTAGATTTTGACGTTGTTACTCAAGTAAAAGACCTTCTTCAACCGCTGACTGTGTCACCGATCATTTCCTGAGAGCGATACAACCAGGATCTAAAGGCTTTGTCAGTTATTTCAGGGATTCCTCATCCCAAAGAATCCTACCCGGGATCCCACGGTAATCAAGTCCTAAACAAGATTTGTGTGTAAAAGACGTAATGCTTCTACCTCTGTAGGATTACAGCCTCGGCACAGTGGTCCTTCTACAGACTAAAGACTGGAGACCATCCGCACAGAAGATTGTAACTGTAGTAAGAAAACAGTTGTCTGCGTTGACCGAGGGAATTTATATCCAGGCCTGTTTCTGGACGTTAAACCTGCTCTGATCCCTTCCCCTCACTGTGACTCTTTAATGCTGGGTGCAAACAAGACGGACAGAAATCCCTCATGAAAAGCTTACAACGAGCAGGTTCTTTAATTAGCGGTTTAGATGTCCTAATGCGCTGCTCTCTTAATTCCTAAGTCCTTTATTAGTCTCTTTTCAGTAAAAATGATCAACCCACTTGAGTTCACTGCACAAACATTCTTTATGTCTAGTGAACTTTAAGTGTTAACGTTTTTTAAAGGTGTTGAGAAATTGTAGAGTTTTGGGAGGGGTTGTAACAATTAGACTGATAGAAAATATGCACATTTTGATGATTGTTTATCGTTTCCCTCCATGACCAAATATAATGAAACACACACACATCAAGCAGCAGCAGCCGACCTCTGTGAAAGGTCACAGGCGAATGACACGGCTCGATAAAACTAATGGCGGGGTCGCTGTTACCAGTTAAACACCCCTCCACTAATATGCTACACAGCACCACGAGACTGCACCAGGTCCCACTGCCGCCTGCTGACAACCAGAGGATGAGGCACCTGATCGGGATGACTGAAGAGACAGGAAAGGCCACCTCATGTGTCCGTGTAGCTTTGCTGCAGCATGCTGGGGGTAGAGGCCTGAATATGACGTAAGGGAATGTACTGTTGTGTTGTAATGAGTGATTTCCTGGCTCACATTAGACCCGTCCAATACCAGTGCACCTCTTCATGGTTTGTCAGACGGGTAGCTGCAGAATAATGAGCTGCACTTTACTCATCCTCGGGAGATAACGTCCGGATCTCAGCTCAAGGTGAAGGAGAGGAAGAAGAACAAGAATAAGAAAGTTATTTTTATAGACTACAAACAGGGCCCATGCATAAATGGGCAGATGTCAAAGCCTTTGGGCTGTCCATTAACATACTCGACCACTGAGGGGTTCGGTGCTCGCCGCAGGGAACCTTGGCAGTGCAGCAAACGGCATCGGCAGTATTTCAAAGAATCATCGCATTGATTTCATAAAATCTAGTGAATGCATTAGATATAAGATTATTAAAATGTCACTAAACTGCTAGAAGAACACAAAACTGCATTTAGTAATCTGTATTTAGCCACAGTGGTGTCTTAAGATAGATTAGCATTAAACTCAAAGTACCACTGAGGAGGATGGGAGTGTTTTAGAGGATTTTGGTCAAGTAATTACAATCAAATATTATACATTATTAGATATACATCTATTAATAGATGGCTATAGATAGATACGTTCATGCAATATTTAGGACTCTAGAGTCAAACCATCTGCACTTTTTTTCCGGGAAAAATGCTCAATTTAGCAGCCTGCTGGGGATTTACGTTCTGTGAGCTTTTTTGTTCTGTGCCAATTCTGACTTGCAACATATCTTCAACATTCAAACCTTCATGTGGAAAATAATACAAACGCATAACCAACAGCCTCTGACATGACCGCACCGCTCGATGTACCTAAACGTGTGTATGTGATTAACAACACAGGCGATCACGGAGCTCCAGTATAACAAGCCGAGACCCGGCATGGCCCCCTCCTCCAGATCATGTCTGCGGTTAAGCAAAATGACCTCCCTGCCCACCAACTGTGCACACCTTTCTGCCCACCCGGCATGGAAGAAAAACATCGGGGCCCTGCTGTAAGCGGTTGGTGAGCACAAACTGTCAGATTAAGGGGTCTGAGAGGATCATCCGGCCATCATTTAGTCGGATTTCTAGCAAATTACCACCAAGCATGTTTGGGTCTACCCCTTGGCACCCCGGGGAGCGCAGTACTTCTGACACCCCGGCTAGACATGTGATGAAAAAAAAACCAAAACAAGTTGGATCAGTTGGTTTGTTAGTGTCTGCATCCAGCGTCATGTACCTGCTCTGCATGGGGCCGTAGAGCAGCTAAGAAGGGGTTGAAACATTTTGCCACTGGAAAAGGAAGCTGAGCATTTAGGTGTCTTAACCATGGTCTAAAGTGCTAACAAGGGATTAGTGAGGTAAACGTCGAAAGAGGTTTAACACTCGTGCTTACGACCAGCGCTGCTTCAGTAATTACACATCAGTTGCAAAGTGCTGCAAGCAGTTGGACGGGAGATCATAGTGATGTCAGGACGGGGAGGGCTTACCGCAGGAGATAAGGCCATCTAATGGAGATGAAATGAATCGGTATTTAAAAGGTCTTTTTTAGTTAAGGCAGTTAGCTGGCAGCAGCGCTCGGATCAGTAGGCTGGTTAGTGGGAGGCCATTTGCAGTCGTTGGTATCGACCGAGGGGACAGAAGTCTGCGAGCTCAACAAAGAGATCTCTTTTTGCTTCACGTTTTCTATTTGGGTTTGTTGCCTGAACTCGGACAAAACCAGTTCCACGCTCTGCTCGTTGGTGTGAAGTTGAAGGTAAGTCCATTAAAACTGCCGTTGAATATTTTGTTATTTTATATTTTTCTGTTTTTGAGGCTGATTTGCTGATTTTTGTTGTTGTATTTCACATTTACTTTGCAGTTGGTCTTGTAAAAGCACAAAACAAACTTATTTTATTCCAGAGTAAGCGATATAAGTCTGATGCCTCAGTATGTATATGTATGTATATATAATATAACCATAATAACTTTGAAAATTCATGCACATTATTTTTATTGTAGTAAAAAGAAAACTTTTAAATAGTAAATGTTGTCATAAATAACGTGAGCACTAAACTGAATAAAAGCCTACTGATCCCACAGTAAGTGATTAATATAAAGGCCAGAGTGATTAGAGAACAGGCTTGAAATCTAGATAATTAACCTAATCATTAGCCTGGATTCTGTAAATAGCACTTATTGAAAAGAAAATGTAACTAAATGGAATTATCTTGTGCTTCTTATTAACGGTGATGTTTTGGGTCCACAATAAATTATATATTTTATGCAGCCTTATTGATATTATTTAATATGATACTTTCAATCTGCTGTTGCAACACTTTTCCACGCGAGATCTTCACACCACAACTAATTCTCTAATCAATACTACATTCAGCTCGCCACTTTAAATCTAAACTGCTTATTGTAACCGACAGAACACAAGATTGCTTCAGCATGTTGTGTAAAGGGGGATTAAGAAGGACCAGACAATTATTCTGTCTTGTCTGATATGACCTCCTCAGGGCTCCATCCACGTTGTCAGCAATTTTTCCCTTTAATTCATTCTTGTAATGAGATTAAGCGGCCAACAGAAAATCCAAGGAGTCCAATCCCCGGATTTGGCAGCTGGGGTGTTGCCTCGGTTTGTTGAGGAAATGAGGGACACGAGTTCTTAGAGCTCACCTGTAAACACTTTCACTCACAAAACGCTGCTTGAAGCTTCCGTCCATTGAGAGGTTTGAGCAAGTTTTCAACATTTGTTACTCTGTTATTTTGTGAACTCCACAACTTTGGTTAAAAGGTGTGAAACAAAACCTAATCAATGTGTTTGCGGTGTCCAAACAAAGGATTTCTCGCAAGCGTTGGAGTCACAGAGAAAAGCAGCAGGTCAATATTTTTCATTTTTTTCTTAAAACAAAAAACACATTTATCATTTCCGGGCACCTGAAGCGAACAGGTTTTATTTCATTCAGATGGTCAGGAGATTCATTTTGGATCCTGGACTCATTCAGAACACGTTTTTCCAATATCACTGCATGTTGACTTGCTGGGGAAATTAGCAGCTTAGCTCTGGGACTAGCATTTAATGCAAATACATAAGGAGACGGAATCTGGTGCCATAACACCGGGCTTTCTTTTCAATGAAGCAGCAGCCATTAACAGTTTGTACCACTAGTTTCCGTAGAAACTCACGCATCAAACTTTTCAATTTTGAATTGTAAAGTGTGTGAAATGTTAAAACTAATCTAATCAGCTTGAAAAATAAATAAATAATTTTACAATATCAGTTATAAAAAGGGCAAATCATTAATTCCCAGTGCAGAGAATGTGAAGGCGATAACGCATTACACAATGTCCTGAGCCTCGGAGCTTAGTGCCCACTTGGGAATTACTGAGGCATAAATGTTGAAATACATTTCTTCTCATTTTCTGATGTAATGACAGAGAAGTAGGTAAAGCCAGGGTGCATGTGTTTGCGCCACATAACTTCACATAAACCGATTGCATCCCCATATTTATCCCCAAGGTGTTTTTAGGACATCCTGGGAGCTAATGGGGGCTAATAGGCTTAGCACTTAGGGTGTATTGTCAGGGATGCTTACAGGCAAGGTTTGCAGAGGGTAAAACTCTAAACGTGCGGATTACCTCCAACACATCCCTTTAAAGTGCTGTATAGCCAGGACTTAGCTAATAGGATCCTGGGGG